TATTTTACTAGAAGATTTTTTTATATATAGGGTATAAGAAATTTATTCATTTTTTGTTTCTAAGAGTATGGTTATAATTTTTTTTTCTTTTTTATTAATCTTTTCTAGATACTGCAAAGTATTTTTTTTTTCTTTATAATAGAAAGATGTCTTAACATTGTTATTAAGAGACTCTTTTTTAAAAGGCTTTGAGTCTTTTGATAGTTTCAAAATATTTTGGAAATATATCACTTGTTCATATTCTGATTCTTCTAGAAGTCTAGCCATGAATGTTTTTATTTTATATTTATTATCTTTTTTGTTAAGAAATAGCTTTAGGCTAGATAATTTTAATCTGTTTCTTGTAGCTTATACAAATTGTTCTGCAATATTATCTCCTTTAATTTTTTCAATAATTTCTTCTATTTTAATCTAGGCTTCTATTGCTTTTTCTTTTATTTCAATTTTAATATTGAAGAAAATTTATATCATTATTGTTGGTTAAACTTCTATATTTATTTCCTTTTCTGGAAGGTCTCTAATAACATAGTAATTTGCTATTACCATTTACTCCTTTAGAAAAGTATAAGAAACTTATTGTAATTTTTTTTCTGGTCTATTATAGCAAATATATGTTTTTCAGGAATAGGTCAAAAAATCTTCTTCTTTATTTTATCTTTAGACTTATAAGTAAAGAATATACTATTTAAGAACTATGACTTTAATAAAGATAGTTTGATTAATATTTAGAATTCTAGTAATGATACTATCTAAAATCAAATATTTGCTTGATTTTAAAATTATATTTGAAATGTTATCTGTAATAAATGTTTTACTATGAATAGTTTGTATAACTTATAGTTTTCATTATTAATCATATTTGTCTAATAATTAAATTAATATATACAGTATATAGTATAATATGTGTATCTTTTTTTTTAACTAGTTATACTAATTAGACTTTTATTAAACAAGTATTATGAAGTATACATATTGTTTTACAAGAGCTATTCTTGTAACTACTGGCCTATACTATTCTTATATAATTCAAATCTTGCTCGATTTTACTTATTTTTTTAAAAGTACTATCTTTGTCAGTTGCTTTGTTTAGCCTAGACTACCTGGTGTTCCAAGGATTTATCCGGGGATTTCTTATTGTATTTAGAAAGCATTTTGAAGTATGTTTCTTTGTAATAAATATCTGTTATACATGTAATAAATTTTTAAGATATATTTAGATCTTAATTTAATATATTTTTATATTCTAATCTTTGGAAACTGAATATTCTCATTTGTTATATAGTTTCAGGTAATTTCTTGACCGCCATTGAAAACCAAATTAATGACTGAAGTCTTTCAGTAACTATTTTTAATTACTTTTTAAATATAGCTTTATAGATACTTTCTTTGATTAAATGAGATTAAATGATCTCTTCTAAATATATCTATTCCTATAAATATCATATTATGAATATCACATCACTCCTCTTTAGCATTTTAATAAGATTTATTCTCTGATAGCCATTAGTAGTTAATAATCTTAGATCTTTTATATTATCTGATTCTTTTTATTTTGCAGCTGATACAGATAACCAAGGTCTTCCAATTATATATAAAAAGAATTTTTTGAGAAAAGATAGATTTCATATGAGACCAATAGAGTTATAAGTTAATTCTTGGTATTTATTGATATCTTCATATATTTTAGGCAGTAGGATGTTATAATTTTTCTAATACTAAAACTAACTAGGGCCTGTATAACCTAATTTATTATACCATAATCAGATAATAGAGTCTGATAGGTCATTTTTGTATACAGAAATGCATGTGCCTAATAACACTGGTTGAAAAATATTTATTTGATATAATGCCACTTATATAATATTGTTAAATAAATAAATAATTTAATATATTAATGACATAAATAAATTGTCAATCAATTTCTACTATATAATTTGATATAAATACTGTAAATCATTAATCAATTTTTATTATATAATTTAGTATAAATAAATTGTCAACCAATTTCTATTATGTAATTCAGTATTATATTTCATATAATTTGTATTATTTTTACTATATATTTCATTAAAATTTTCTTCAAAAAATCATTAGACATTTATCAAAATTTATATATTTGTTAAATTTTAATTATATATTTTATTTATGATTTAAAGAAATTATAGCTAAATATTTACAAGAGTTTTTCTTATTTGAGGTTTTATATCTAAATGAAATAAATTAGTCAAAAATATTATTAATAGAAATTATACATTCACATATAACTGGATAAAATTTAATACTTCACAAATTAATATTTATGTCATTTTCAATTCTGAAATAAATTTATTTTCTGTCAAATTAATTGATTTGACCATTGAATAAAAGCCAATTGATATTTAATAATATTATTCAGAAAGTTTATCAAATGTGTAAAGAAGAATTGAACTTGTTCTAAATATAAATTGATACTTCTATCATAATTCATAAATTATATTAATATAAATAAGTCCTTAATATTTTGTAAAGACATAACAGAATCAAATATTCTATTCCCAATTTAGCATCTACCATATTGATCTGCTTTATTCTGAATAATTATTGAATTTTCATTATCTTTTGTAAATAGTCTCTAAAAGTTCATAATTTCATAATATGCTTTATAGTATTTAACTAATAGATTTAATATTTTGATAGATATTTTTAAATTTGATTTTTTTGGATATAAAAGTTCACTTGGAAAATGTTTAGATCCATTAATTATTGTTTCATAAATATTATATATATTTTTAAAAATTGATATAACTTGTTAATCAAAAATTGATCTAGTTTAGAAATTGGGTTGATATTTAATTGATTATTTAAAATTTCAAGTTCTTTATTATTGGAATAGGATATAGTTAAATTAATAATTCAATAATCATTCATCAATCTTCACATTAATTTAGATTTAATGTTTTAATAACTATTAGACAATAAACTTAGATTAAAAATTTATTAGAATCCTACTTTCAAATATTAAATTTGTTTAAAAATCTATCTAATATACCATTTATTCTCTTGAATAAAAATTACCAAAATGCATGCAATGGCCTATAATCATATATGCATTCATATAAATATAATAAAAGATGAAGATTTAGAGTAATTTTTTCTTTTCTATATTTTTATTCTATTAGTTTAATCATTATAATTAATCTTTAATAAGTCTTATTTAACAAATTTCATCTTAAAATTCAATATACTAAGATTTGACAAATCTTAATAAAATTTATTAAAATTTGATAATTCACATCTGAAAGATGTTTTCATAGAATGGTAGTTGTATATATATGAAAAAATTTAGTCACTGATTGGTAGTAAAGTTCAAAAATTTTTCATCACTATTTACTTTTCTCAGAATTTGACCAATATCCAATAGCATTTGAAAATTTTTCATTATTAATTATATTTCATCTAATATATTATTCATCAGTATCTCTTCTTTTATTCATATTTATTTAATGAGCTATTTATCAATACTTAAGAAAAGATAATATATAGAATTGATAACTAAATACTAAATAGAATCAAAATAAGGTAGATAAAATAATTTAAACCATCTGATATAATTTTTACTGATAAAATATTTTTGTGCTACATTTGAGTTTCAGCATCTCTATTTAATAGAATCTTATTTATGTGTTATCAAATCTCTTGATATAACTATTCAGTTACAGTATATCCTTCATGCTATCAAAATTATAATGATTATTTTTATAATTGACATTCTTCTTACAATAATAATATTACACTAGTGCCAAATATATCCACATACTTTTTGTGCTATAGAAATATTGCATGAAATTAAAATTAAGATTGTCTGAATTATTTTTTCTTTTTATTTTTAGCAATTAAATTAAACTTTATTCCTTGCTATAGTTGCATCAATTCATTAACAATTGGAAAAAAGTAAGGATTTATTTGATGTAAACTTAATTCACTAGAACTAGTAATATGTCAAGAATTAACATATTTTCATGTTTAAATTATATTTCACATGGTAAATTTGCAATAGTTGTATATATAACTTCAGTACCATTCACTTTATTATCAAATAGTTAAAACTATTCAATATTTAGCAACAAATTCAAATGTAAATTAGTTGTTTCTTTGCTAAAGAAATAATTCTGAGTTTTCATCTTTAAAATTTTTCCAAAAATCATTATCATAAATATCACATAGAAGTTTATTAATGTTTGATTGATCTATTTAATACCAAAGAACATATTTTGATATATTTGCAACAATTGATACTAAATAGTAGAATTTGGAAAACTAAATTGGATCAATTAATTACATTTCTACTTAATAATTCTAATTGTGTAGACAGTGGAGAATTGCAAGTTTTTTTTCATTTTATTATCGAATTAGAAAATTCAATATGAACACACTTCATGACCAATAGCTAATTATTTTTTTGAAAACCAAGAACATCATCCTGTCTGTATAATTTCTGATATCTTTGACATGTCACAAAACTAACAAACTGGTCTGATAATCCAAGTTTATTATTGATGATATATAAAGACTCACAAAAGAACTCAAATTCTTCACCAATTTCAATTAGCACCAAATTCATAAATTTCAGAAGTGCATCTGTTGCACTATTTGATAAATTAAATCAAATTCTATAGTTCATAATCCACTATCCAAAAATTTGCTAGAATTTGATGAAAATTCATATTTTGGTGCTGAATAATCTTCAAATATGGATCAGAGATATAATTTATATAATAAACTCAATTTATGTCAAGCTAAGATTTACGCGACTTTATTTTTCAAATCTTCATGTTAGACCCTCCACATGAATAAAAACAAGCAAGCAAATGTATTTCAAATGAAATGAAATTTGTTCAAATTAAAATCTTGTTGAAAAATGCAAATAATCGTTTCATTGTAGAAGACCGATAATTACAATGAAAAGAAGTGTATACAACAAATTTGTCATCAAATTTATAAATGAAATGGATGTATGCCATTTACAATCGATCGTTCTTTCTTCTAACATCCCAAGGAGGAATATTAACGAGAAAAGCACCCGCGACATATATGGATGCAGATGTTGCTTCATTCCCATATGCAATATATGTACTAGCTTCGTTCCATTCCGTCGGGCGATTGCACCAGACAACTTCTCGGCGTATCCTAGCATCACAGTCCTGTTTAATTATTTGATATTCACTCCGCTCATCCTCGTAATCATTACCTCCACCGACGAACTCGTCACCCACCATAAGAACCTTGTGATCTTGGTAGGACAGGCCGTAATCGCGACTTGTCTTATGCCGCCTTTTAGGAAATTCTTCTTCACAATCATCACTATCATCTTCTACGGGTTCAAAGTCGACCTCATAGACTGCTTTGATTTCAACATTAAGTCCTAGACCTCGGGCAACCTCATATAAAAGAATATCACTGCCTTTAAGTGAACTTCCAAATGTATCTCTGAATTCACCTTTAGTAAGCGGATATGCATGCTGCAAGCAAAATCCAAGAATGCCTCCGCCAGATAAAAAATTAGAACTTTGTAGGGCCAACTTGAGAGAATGGTAAAAGGGAAGCGCTTTCAGATCAACGCTGACGTTTCCGACAGCTTTAGTCTTCTCTGAATACAGATTGTATGTTAATGTAACGCGATACCCCTTGGTGACAGGTAATATTTCGTGTTCACAGTCTGAATAGAAGGCTGCCCATTGTACTTGTTCGGATTGATTACTTGCGGTTTCCCAATTAAATTCCCAATTCTTTTCTTTGTGTCTGACATTGAGTTGACCTCCTTCAAATTCTGAGGGAAAGCACACAACAAGGGAACCAACCATATCGTTTCCTCGGGGTGTGTCAACATGTTTTTTAAAATGGCCACCTGGTGCATAAATATTTAGCCTGTATGACTCTGCCCTCAAACTATGATGATTTGAGACCATCCATTTGCTAATCTCATTAAGAAGGTCTGTGGCTGATGGATGGAATTGAATAGCAAAGTTTCGAAGATCAAGACAAACCGCATTCCGATACTCCACATCAAAAACATCTTCATTTCCACGTCCAAAAGTAGCAGGAACGCACGCGTCAAATAGGGCCTTGATTTCGTTATCGTTGGCGGGTAACTGAATAGCCGAGACTTTATTGCTATTTTTGTTCTCGAAAAAGAGACGAAGATAGTCTTTTGGGACAGACATTTTACCACCACAACAAACCCTTCCCTCGATACCCTGGATATCTTGCGTTAGTCTGTCAACTAGTGCCTTTTCTCCTTTTCTCATTGTTGTGTGAAAAAATTTCAGATTTTGTTTTTATTGATCGACATCATAGTCAAATTTATTAGTCTTGCTGCGGAAAGCCTGTATATTAGCCATCCGCTACGGATAATTCAAAGCACGCATCTTTAATATCTCTATCTAAAAAAGATAACAATCTAAGTGATCGCGATCTTATGGTTCCATAGAATTATATTTATTTTTCGAAAGAAATGCAAGCTATTTGATAAAGTGAAGTTTCACATTCACTTTGAAATCCAGTCTCCTGAACCGTGAACGCATGTATAAATTGACTTTGGGACTGTATCTTCATTATTTTTTTTCTATAATATGCACATTTTCACTATATTTTTAGTGAATTGCGGGTTTTAAAAATTTATTGAATAAAGGATAATAAATTATGTTTTTAGAACTTTAATATATTTAATTTTATATAAAATATAATATGATTATTTTTATGATATAGTAAAACAAACCAAAAGAATTATTTTATATTGGCCAAGATTCACTTTATTGAAGAAGAGCAAGTAACAATATAAAGAATTTCTATTCTATAATGTATTATGTTGATCAAATAAAAATCAATAAAGAAGTTTTTATTATAATTCTTTTGCCTTGTGACTAAGTAATCTTGACAGTAAATCAATAATCTGTATAAAAAATTTATATATATAGTATATTAAAAGAATCATTAAATAAAATATAAAAAATTACCATTTATTTAACTCTTTTTACTGATTTCTTGATCATATACAAAAAAAATAATTACAAGAAAATTTTTTACTTATTTGCTAATAAAATCTTTACACTTTTCTTAAAACAACTTAAAATATGATTTTAAGAATTACTTCTATCTTCTCTTTCTTATTTACAAACCTTTTCACTTATAAACTTAACTTTTGATAGTTAAAAAAAGTCAAGTAACACTTTTGTTATCAATAACAAAAAAGTTTTTAAATATAATATTTGAAGATTTTTTTAATATTCAAAAGCAAAAAAATATAAAGATATTATATAGTAAAAAGATTTATTTTTTTTTCTTTTTTACTTCTTAAAACTTTTTCTTTTATAATTTTCTGAAAATTTTTTATTTACTTTAGTTTGATCCCAATTATGAAAAAAATATAATTTTTTTTTTTCATTAGTCATACTGACTGAGCTTTTATTGATATTTATAAGAAGTACAGATGTTAAATTACAAGCGGCTATACTTATAACTATTTTAACTATACTACACATACTCAATATAACTCGATTTTACCCATTTCTAAGCAAGTACCATCTTATCAGCTGCCCTGCTATATCCGAACACCTAGCATTTCAAGGATCCACTAGGGACTACCATTTTTAATTCAAGAAACATTTTTGTTGTATATTCCTTAGGATATGATTGGTTCTTTTATAGTAAAAGTGTGTTCAAATTTTGTATAACATACTTGCCATATTCAGTTTTCTTTTAAAGCTAAATTATTTGATGCACCAATCTCCATACAATCTGATGTAAAGCCCTGATGATTATTGGTGTGTTTTGCGGTGACCTAAATCTTCTATTGATTATTCTTAATCACTCTTCAAAGATAGCCTACAGGGGTTTTTCTTAGTCAAATGAGACCTTAGACCTTTTCCAAATGTATCCACCCCTATGGTTCCCATCATAAGTATTGTGCTTTCTCCCAATCCAAGACCCACCTGGCCATATCCCTTTGATAACTTTTGTGACTGGTATAGACAACTGAGGTCACTTAATGCCTTTCATGAGTATAATAATTTGAGAAGAGATAAATTCTTCATTAGGCTGATAGGATCTTGAGATGATCATTGTTATTCCTGATATTCTTTCGGTAGCTTCATATATTTCAAGCAGCATGTGCATCATAACTTCATTTGTCCTAGTGCTAAAATCAATTAAGACTTGTATGACCTATTTAATGTATTATAGTCAGATGGTAATGTTTAATAGGTCGGATATATACAGAAACACATATGATTGATAAGCATGTATTCTGTACAATGTGACCTATTATTGTAATTACTGTTCTTTAGTGGGATTGAACAGGTAACTTACAGATGATAACCTGAAAGTGCACCCACTACACTATTAATCCACGGGTCAAAATATAATTCTTATTAAAAGTAATTAATTAATATAATTTTTAGAATATAAACAAGTTTTTATTAATTATATTTATAAAATTTAATAATATCAATAATTATTAGAAAAAAAAATTTAAAAAATTTTTTTTTTTTCAAATTTATAAGTTTTCTAAAAAGGCATTTATAATAATAAAAAATAAGAGATAAATAATATGCATTATAAATTTCTATCTGTATTAAATTTTTTAAATAATAAAAAGACTTTAATAAACAAAACTAAGATTTTTCTATTTCTTTTAAGCTATTTCAATTCAGTATTTACTTAAATAATAAACTTATTAAATTTACTATTCAAATATTATAGATAATAATAAAAATATTTTTTAAGATTTAATTTAAATAAAAAAATATTTTAATTAAATCAATCTCTTTTGAAAATAAATTATTATTTTTTATTAACTTTTAATAAAGCTTTAAATTGTTTTTTTTTTTCTTTTCTTTTATTTTTTTTCTTTTAAATTAATAATTTATAGTTATTTAAATTAAAATAAATTAATAAAAAACTTTTAAAAATAAAAAAAAAAACTCTTTTTACTGATCCTTTACCTATACACAAAAAAAATATTCACAAGAAAATTTTTACTTCTTTACTAATAAAGTCTTAATATTATTTCTAAACCAACTTAAAGTTTTACTTTGAAAGATACTTCTAAATTCCTTTTTGTTTATATTTATCTTCAAATAAAAACTTAACTTTCTGTGATCTAAAAAAATCAAGAAATATTTTCTCTACCTATAACAAAAATATTATATAAAGAAGAAAAATCAATAGTATAGTATTTAAAATCTTTCATATTAAAGCATGTTTATAGAGATTTTATACAATAGAAGGTAATAAACATTAAGCCATACTTTCAAAATATCTGATTATTATTTTTTCCCTCTTATAGTTATACAAAATTTTTTTAATTTTATGAGGAATTTTACCTATTTCAACTTGATCCTAAATTTCAAATAACATAATCTATTGCAAAATATGATTGATAAATATAAAACATATTAGTAGCTAAATGTAAACAAGTTCCTACTAATTACTATATACAGTATATTCTAATAACATTATTAGTAATAGAAAGAGTTAATTAATACTTCATTCTTACTTCACTTCTTTAATTAAATTAATCTATAGATCAAATTCTATAAGATCAATAAGATATAAGCAACAAGTTCTCATATAATAAAAAAACTGATATTTATTTAAGCTGAAGTTTTCTTTTTTATTATTCTGGTTAGACAAAGTTCCAGACCAAGGTTTTCTTTTTATCCTATTTAGGCAATTAAAATAAATGGTCTTTGATTTATACTAAGCTCTAATTCTTTAGTTGTAATTGAAAATGTATTTTTCCAAAAGTTGTTGAAAGGTATTACAATTAATAAAAATTCTTATCCCTTTTTGAAACTCTTCTATTATTACAAAACAAAAAGATTATTAAAAAATTTTATTTTTTGGATAATGGAAGATGTATATTAGTAAAATTTCCTTAGCTAGACATGATTGCTAAAAGTTATTATACTGAAAAAATATGACTCAATTTTTACTGAGTTATATTAGAATCTAAAGTTTATTATAAGTTATCTCTCTATTACAGGTGAATAAAAAATCACTATCCAAAAAAGATTGGGATCAAGTGTGTTCTAGAAAGAAAGACTTTCGCTAGGTAATAAGTATTCTCTCAGATAGTCAGAAAAAGAAAAGATATTTCAATTAGGTATTTCTTATTAAGAAAAATCTTAAAATATAGGTTTTTGGAGGAAACTAAAATTTTTTTTTAATTTTACTTTTTTATTTTTATATTTTTTTTTTAATTTTACTTTTTTATTTTCATATTTTTATTTAAATATTTTTTAATATCTCCTTTTCTTTTTTCAATTCATTCTTTTGTAGTTTCTTTTATTTCTGCATCTTTGTATAATATGCTATAATAATAA